TGAAGGACACAGACATTGAACGTGAAGTGACAGCTGGATGAGCCTTGTGCTACAGGAAGCCTAGAGTGCCCTGGGATTGTAATGGAGAGGTCTGCCCTAGGTCGGTGTTCAGAGGTGGCTCCCTATAGGAGGCGCTATTCAAGCTGAGGCTGGAATAGTCAGCAGAAGCCAGACTGAAAAATGTTCTAGAATCGGTCCTGTGTCTCAATAGTGTCTTACAAGTATCAGCTCATTTAATTCTCTCAAGCATTCTAAGAGCAACATGTATTATTCTCAGATGAGGGTACTGTGGCTCAGAGAAGTAAAATGACTTGCCCAAGGTCATGGTGCAAGGTCACAGTGGTGCAGAAGCAGGAACATAGGCAGCCTGGCTGCAGAGCCTGATCTCTGTGCCAAACACCTCCTGAAACAGGAGGAATCTAGAAGCAATGGAAACCACCAAAGGGTTGAAGCTGGGGAGGGGGTCTCCTCAGTGAGATGCTGTTAAAAGCACACCCTGGCAGCATGCACAGTGGTCTGTATGGTAGCAGGAGTGGAAATGGCACCCAGTGAGGAGGCTTGAGTTGGAGCAGAATGGAGACCAGGGAGATGGGTTTGAGAGTTATTTTGGAGGCGGAGTTGACAGGACTAATAGTAATATTTGCATAGCACTTTCCAGGTTACCTTACACTTCCATGGGCATCATTTAATTTAATTCACTCAAGATCTCTGGCAAGTTGCTATCATAAGGATCAATATTATCCCTGTTCTACAAGTAAGAAAAGTGAGGCCCAGAGAGGGGCAGTGATGTGTTCTAGATCACAATTACAAATGTGTGTGTTCTAGCTGATGCATGTGTGTGCATGTGTGGACATCTGAGTGCTTTTGCAGGTGCATCCCTGCATCCTGTGTGTCTGCTACTTTAGGTGGGCTCCTGGGCTACAAACTGGGCCCTTGGTGGGTTCTTGGGTGGCTGAGTGTGCAGGAAGGGCACAGCCATCCATGCCTGCTGATGAAGACATAGGGCCATGGAGGGGGTCTGGGGGTTGCAACCACATCTGTTCGGAGCTGAGGATCCATGGACCCTGCATCTGAATATGGGGGGCTGCTGGGTTGGTGGCCCCAACATAATAATAATCCTTAATGTGATTGAGCACTTACTGTGTGCCAGGCCCTGCACTCAGCCTGTCACATGCATTCTATCAGTTCATCCTTACAATTCTATAAGGGAGCTACACTGATCTCCATTTATAAATGAGGAGACAGAGGCTCAGAGAGGGTGACCAATGTGCCCAAGGTCAAACAGCCCCTAAGCTGTGGAGTCACACTTGGACACTGGTTCCACCTGACTGTGAAGCTCGTGTTCTTAATCCACTCTGTTATGCCACCGCACACGCACAACTTCCACACAGATGCAGACCTGTGAGTGCCCGCACCTGCAGGTAGACGCTGAGCCATACGGGAAGCCAGCCCTCCAGGGTCACCTGGAGCAAGGAAAGAAGCCACCCTCACCGGGAAGCTTGGGCAGCCCTGCTCCCTTCCCCCTGCCCAGGGCCTGGGCCCTGACCCTGATGCTCCTGAGATTGGCTTTCTTGGGACTTGCTCAGGTTTCTGGCCTCTGGCCTCCAGGCTCCGGGCTGCAGGCAGCCTGTGGAAATTTATGGCTTGAGAAAGTTCTTGCAAGTCCAATGCCTGCATCCCTCTCTCAGACCTTGCAGGGTTTATCAAGATACTGGGTTCTCCCTCCCCCTTCTCCTGTGCCTCCCCTGCTGCTGCCCCCTCCCCCAGCCCTTTGTCTTAGGCCAAGTCAATCCCCCATAGCTCCCCCTCTCCCTGCCTGCTGACCTTGCCTGCCTCGGTTGAACCCACCACGCAGCTTCAAATTGCAAATAAAATCCTTTCTCTTCTCTCCTCTCTCGTCCTGGCCATGAAAGCGGAGGAAGGATCTCTATATAAGGCTCTCTCTGGTCATGCACATGCTTGAACCAATAACTTCACCTTTCTACGTCTCAGTTTCCTCATCTGTAATGGAGGTGATCACGATAATGTCTGTGTCAAAGGGTTGTTGTGAGGAACAGAAGAACAGAAATCCTCTGGCAATACATTGCACATAGTAGGTGATATATAGATGTTAGCTATTACTATGTGGATGAAAGAGAGAACATTCCCATTGACTGGGCTCTTGCTTCGTGCCAGTGTGGGAATTAGCACCTTATATTATTACCTCATTTACTTTCAGGACTTAGAACTGTGCCTGCCCCAGAGAAAATGTCTCATACATATTTGCTGAATGAAAGAATGAAGTCTCATCAAACCCTATGAAGTAAGCATTTTTACAGATGGGGAAACTGAGACTAAGAAAGGTTATGTCCCATACAGCATTGGCCTGATGACTGTGGGTTTTGGTCCCAGGAATATGTTTGTTTCCAGCTGCTTCGAGTAAACCCCATGGGGGGAGAGGGGTAAAGAAGTGACTGCCTACAGACACGGACATGGGTAGAGGTGGAGATGCACACACATTGAAGGGCTCCAGCCTCCCCCAAAGAGGAGGTGGTTCTAGGAAAGATGAGAGAAGGCTGGGATTGGCATGGCTGAAGAGAGCTTCTTCTAGGGAAAGGGAGGACAGTGCAGGCAGTGGAACGGACAGGGTCAGCATCCTCCTGGAACCTGTGCAAAGCCAGAACCCGGAATATCATCTCCAACTTCTGCAGTTTCACAGTTCACCAGGAACACCCCCATCGGGTTACTGATGAGAAAAAGGAGGCCCAGAGAAAGCAAGGCAGTCGCAGACCAGGCCGGATCTGGGATAGCAGTCCTGGATTGAAGTCAGCCAGACCCAGAAACGGCAAAAAAGCCAGTTGCAGGCCCTGGCTGGAGGGGTCATCCAAGGCAGAGAAGGCAAGGGCTGGGCCTTGTCTGTGTTGGGCCCTGCCATTCCCAGGCCGGGCCCAGAGACCAGGGGTGGACCCCAGTGTGGCTTGCCCTTCAGTCCAGGCTGCCTCTTGGAAGGAAGAAGGGCAACAGCAGACACAACGGGCTTGGGCAGCTGCCCAGAATGTACCTAGACTCGTCAGGGACCCCAGGAGCACTGCCTGGCCCTGGCAGCTCACGCAGGCCTGGGGCTGCACTGGCCCTTCTTTGTTGACTTTTACTCCTGCCAAGGGGAAGCTGTTCTGGATGGAGACACAAGAGAGCGATTTGTCACTGGTTGCCCCTGGCTTCCACTCTGCAATGCCAGCCAAGAGGGTGGCTTCCTCCTCAGCACTTGCCCCACCTGCAAGGTCGCTGTGGTAACTTGTTCTCTAGAGAGCCCAGGGCTGGGCTCTGGCTGCATTGCCCCCTGCTGGAGTGTCAAATCTGGAGATCTCTGCTCCCCCAGCTATCTCTCCTTTATCTTTTTGTCTTAACAGAGTGGCCAAGCTGGGCGGTACCGTGAAGACCATTAGTACAGCCACCTCCAGCCCCCCTTCCACATCATAGACAGGACCAGGGACTCGGCCCAGGGCACATGGTGCACCTGGCAAACCTGGGACTGCCAGCCAGGTCTCCAGACCCCAGGCCGTGCCCCTCCTGCCCCTAGAACCGACGACTCCCTGTGCTGATGCCCCAGCCTCTGACCCCAGTGCCCGGGCCAGCCTGAGCCCTCAGAACCCACGTCCCCCGCCCCAGGCCTGCCGGAGAACACAGGGAGGAGCCCGGGTTGGCAAGGAACCACACGGTCCTGGCCCAGCTCCTCCTGAGCGGGACTCCCTCCACCTCCTCTGCCCTGCCAGGCACGGGGGCACCTGGACGGCTCTGAGGGGATTTGGGTCTGGGCTGAGCCAGGTGGGGTGGGGGGAATGTGGGGAAATAGAGACGGGAGCGGTAATCATAATAACCCAACATACTGAGCATTTACTATGTGCCAAGCACAGTGCTTTACATACATGCTCTCATGGCAAGGCCTCTAAATGCCCAATAACGTGACCAAATAAGCTAGGGAGCGGGTCTCAATCAGGTCTGCCTGACTCCCTGTCGAGAGCTCTTCCCACGGCATCATATGTTATCAGGTGTAATCATACGTTCTGATGACTATGGCTAAGGAGAGATTTGAGATGTCGAATACTCCTTGCCCCTGACCTCCAGCTGGCACACATCTAAGTCACTCAAGGGCACAGGGATGGGGCCCTGTCATTCCGTGCAGCTGGGACCAGATTGCCACTGCTTCCACACACAATGGCAGCATGGTCACTGTGGGAGTCTTCTGGGAGCCAGCTGAGCCCATCTTCAGGGAGCTCACATTCTGAGACAAGCCACCCCTGAAACAGAGGACAAGAGGCAAATGCCAAACGAACCTTGGGTGGGTCAGTTTTTGACAGTGGGCGCATCTCCCAGCCAACCAATGCTGAGGGCCTTGAAGTCACTCGTCTCCTGAGCCCTCAGTCCTCTGGGTTACCTGGGTTTCACCCAGGAGGGTTTAGAAAGGGGAGCAGATATTTCAGACCCAGAAAATACAAAAAGGAAGAGAGGGGAGGGTGTCCCCAGTCCAGTGGACCGGTCCACAAAGCATGCTGGGGGTGAAATAGCTCCAGTCAATGGGACAGGGGAGAGGGTTGAAATTATATGTGGCTGAGGGGTGCCTACCAAGGAGGATAACAGCCAACTGAATGATATTGTTTACGAAGGGGGAGGCAAGGTGGGCTTGGCAAGGCAAGGTCGGGCTGATGAATGAAGGTCTTGAAACCGAGGCTGTTGGCACCCATTCTGAAGGATTCTCCTGTTGGGAGACTAAGACCCCTCGTGGGGACTAAGGAGAAGCGGAAGGAGCTGGTCAGAGTGAGGCCCACCTGCTGGGGTTCAGATCAGGGCTCCACGTGGAGCAACAGGCCAGGAAGCTGATATTCACTTCCCCGGGGGGATGAGACGAGGCCAGTTCTCACTGTAGCCTGAGTGCAATGCAGCAGAAACCCCTGCCCACCCAGGCCTTTCAGAACCACTGTTCTGAACGGCAAGAGTAATAGCTCCACTTACTGAGTACTTACCGAACTGCTTGCCTTGGCGTAAGCCTCCCAATAACCCTCTGAGGTCATTACTACGAGTATTCCATTGTGCAGACGGGGACACTGAGGCACAGAGGTGTGAAGTCACTTTGCCCCAGGTCACCCGGCTAGGAAGTGGCTGAGGCTGAGACTGAATGTCTGGCTCCAGGACCTGTGTCGCCAACCGCCATTCCAGTGTTCCTCCTCCTAGTAATCCTGTGAGGATCAGCCGAGGTGGTGACTATGCAGCATTCAGTGCCACGCCTGGTCTGCTGTGGAGGCCTATAAATGGGTGGCATCTGGCCCAGTTCAGCGTTCAGTGACTGTGGACTAATTGGACTCTGGCAGCCACCAAGATGAGAAACCATGGAAGATGCAGGCAGGAGTGGCACTGTTTGTACAGCAGGAACTGAAGTGCAGGGAGAGACACCTACCCCGAGAGGCCAGGGGCAGGGTTCTAGAAAAAGCCAGATTCTCGGAAGGCAGTGGTGCTGGCACAGGTGCTTAGCTGACAGTTGGTGAGAGTGGTTCCATACCTGCAGGAGGCCCCGGGGTAGCACCAGGCCCAGCTGACTCAGAGGCATCAGGCAAGACCCCTACCCCCTGGGTGGGGAGCAGTGCCACCTGGATGGAATGGGTTCCCATCCCTGGAGCAGGGGGCCAGTCAGAAAAATTAGACACAGGTGTGGGTCTCAAGAGAGCTGCTAACAAGGCCTGGAGGGAAGCTGTGGCTGCCTCTCTCTGAGGGGGAGGCCAGAAGGCAGAGATGGTGCCCTAGGAGGAGCGGTCATACCTGCCAGGCCCAGCTCCCAAGGTCCTGGCCAGCCTGCCTCCTAACACTGTCTTCCGTGACCCAGCTCCTGTTCACAGGCTTATTTGGGTCTTCCTGCCCCAGCATTTGAGCTCTGTTTATTATCCCCATCTTTTGCGACAGGAAACTGAGACCCAAGGTCACACAGTGAGGGGGGTGGCCAACCCAGGAATTGTACCGAAGCCTAAGGGCCGTGGCCCCAAACCCCGCCAGAGTTTTGCCTCTTGCCACCTTAAGTCCTTGTCCCATGATGACTCCCTCCTCAGGCTATCTCCCCAGGCCCCACCTCAGTCTCTAAGGCTCATTTACAGAGCTCCTTTGGGACAGCGATTCTTCAGGGGTGGTCCAGGAAATATTGGTGGTGGTCTGTGGGGCCTTTAAGTGGTCCGTGGGCAGGTCCAAAATTTAAGGCATGCAACAGTGTGCGGTGGGGTATTTCGTTTCTTTTTTTTTTAAGTATATTTTCTATGGCAGATTCAAATCCGCATTTAAAATACCAACAATGGATAGCTTTTCAGTAAAGGCACAATAATGGTTATGTTGTCGGAGAGTGGGCCCTTCTCGGCGCAAAGTCCAGGTTCTTGGCAACTCGAGCAAAGAATTGAACAAGATACAGGAGTAAAAAGTAGTTTATTAGAAGAGATAGTACATTTCAAAGAGTTTGGAGCGGGCCACTTGCAAAGGCGAGGCTCAAAAGACTCAAAAACGGGAGGAAGGGGTTCAAAAAGGGAAGAAGCGGTCAAAAAGAGCAGGGCGGACTTCCCAGGACTTGGAGTTTTTATCCCCTTTCTCTAGAATGGGCTGTTCCCCTAAGGGCATGGGACCACTTGATTGGCACCTGTGATTGACAAGACGTACTGCGCAGGTGCGAGTGACTGGTCTGATCTTGTTGGGTATTTTGTGCCCATTTGTTTCCCCACAGGGGTAGGTAATTACAATACAAAGGGGAGTTTTAGGTGGAGAGGGGATGTCCCCTTGGCAGTCCCACTCTGTGGGACATGCAGGAATGCACCCATCCAATGCCTGCCTCTGCCTGCCTTGTTTTCCCCTTGAGAGACGTGATCCCTATAAAATCTCTATGGGAAGCTGAGGGACAGGAGGTCTCTTCTTCTGTATCTGCTTCCTGCTGGGCAGGGGCATACAGTTGTCCAGGGGCATAGAGCTGTCCCTGCCTATTGGGGGATTCACGGAACTCTCGCCCTAGCTGATCTCAGATGGAAGGAAGGGGTCTCGAGCTCCCCCTGGAAGACTGTGTTGGCTTCTTTGGTTGTGACTGGCAACCTTGTTGGAGTGTCGTCTGTATCCCCAAGGCCACTAAATGAGGAAAAATAGATTTTAATTAATAAATCCGTTAGCTCTCATGAAGCCTGTGGCCATTCAGCCCGTCACTCAGGAGGCGTCAGTTGTCTGGGCCCAGAATGGGTTTAGCATTTAGGTCACTGGCCAGGGGGATATTAGCAAGTCACAGGCTTCCAAGTAGTTATCTGAAGCAGGGGTAGGAGACTTCTATTGTTTAGGATTCAGAAACCGACTTACAAAGCAATCAAGAAGCAGGGGGATAGGAGAATTCTAGGATTCAGGCTAGGAGCAATCTATAGTCTAGGATTCACAAACTGATGAGAAGAGTAATCAAAGCCAAGAGCTAAGAAACTAAGGAACTGGGGAGGAGACTTACCATTTCTATACTTAACATTTCTATAGGAAAGAACACTTAAAAGTTTCTCAGTGGTGGGGGTGCTCCTCTGTTGGCCAGTATCAATTATTTACCCAGTCAAGAGGTGATCAGGCCATTTGGGATTTCAGGATGTGCCAGGATAGAAATGACAGTCTCCAAAGGAGCCACTGAAATAGGAACATAAAGGCTCCTAGAATATTGCCCCCATTTTGCAAGTAGAAAACTGAGTCCACAGGCAAGAAGTTGGTCCCAACGAGCTTAGTTAGCCAGACCCTATGGTAGGGTTGTTTCCAAAATGCATTTGCCAAAAGTCTTCAAAAGAGGGACTGTGGTGGCCTCAGTAATCCCGGGACTGAAGTAGCCAGAGAATAAATACTTGTGCTTCCACCATAGAGCAAAGAAAGCCTCTAGGGTAGAGATGCCACATGCTGCTGCCCTCTCTTTGGCCTCACCCCCCAACTCTCCCAACAGCACTCAAAACTGTGTCCCTTTGGGGGATCCCCCACCCCCAGCTCCAGGCTAACCAGGCAAGCAGTCCCTCCCCCCCCACACACACACACAAACACAACCTGCATTCTTGAATAGCTGCCACCACTTCATTGGCCTCAGCCCCAAGAAGGAGTGTGGAATGTGCTTCCCTGAGCCATTAGGGAGCGGGTAGAATGGGGGGGGGTCCTGCAGGGAAGCTGAAAATAATAAGACAGACTATAGAGGGAGAGGAGGAGTGATCCCAAGGGCCAAAGCCTCTGTGGGTGGGAGTCCATAGGCGGCCACCCCAGGGGCAAGGCCGGGAAGGATACCCTGGGCCTGGACTTCCTTGCCTGTCCTGTGTCCATACTCACAAGACAGAAGAGGCCAGGTCCTAAGTTTCTACGGATACACCCAAAAGACTGCCCCCACCCAGAAATGAAGTAGGCATGGGTAAGGGGAAGGCAGGAGGAAGTTGGTCGCTGCAGGTATTGAAATGAAATCACTGTCCTTTCTGATAACTAGTGACCAGCCCTTCTCAATCTCATGTTCAAGACACTCCGGGTGTTACAAGCTATTTGTCACTCACTAATTACGGTTAAAGAGTTGAGGATTGTAAATCATTTCCTGTCTCTTCCTCTTTCCTTTTGTAAAAACCAACTAGAGCAGATTCATGGTTTCCCCTGTGGCCTTTCTTAAATGGGAGAAAAAAGGCAACAAAGGGGCACTTCTACTTCCAGATGAGGAGACACATTTCTCCTGATCCCTCCTGCTAAGTACAGCTAAAACCTCTGGACATTATATATAAACAAGCATAAGACTTTGAAAGGTGGAGAGAAAGCAGAGAATCTAAGGAACTCAGGACAGAAGGAACAATATGGTGGTGAGTTACTTGAGTGCTGAGGAAGCCAGCAAACACAAATACCAACAAGCATAGCCGAAACCAAACCAAAGCAAAACAAAATAAAGTAAAAGAAAAACACAGCCCCCAACAAAAGCCTGCTCTATTTTAGCCAAAGGACCAGAAAAGGGACAGAAAAAGACTCTGGCTCCACCCTCACGCATGACAGTAAAGGCTGAGTGGGGAGCCTAGACTTCCTCCCTAATCCTGCTTCCTCTTCTCCTACTGGGATGGTATCAGAGAAGGACCAGTGGGGAGCCAAGACTTTTATCCCTGCCTGGTGGTAACAAGGCCTTCCCTGCTCCCACTGTCAGTGGAGGTCTAGTGGGGAGCCTGGAATCCTGTTATCTACATAGCAGTAATGAGACATTCCTTCCCACCCTGGGATATCAAAGAAGGCAGAGTAGGGAGCCTGGACTTTCACCCCAACCTGGCAGTAAGGAGGTGACACAGTGTTAGAGGACTCCTGCTAAAATGGAAGATTTAAATAAGATCCAGAATCTCATAGAATAAAACACAAAATGTCCAGTTTTCAATAAAAAAAATTCACCTGTCCTACCAAGAACCAGGAAAACCTCAACATAAATGAGGCAAAATAAATCAATGGATGCCAAAAACAAGTTGACACAGATATTAAAATTGCCTGACAATGACTTTAAAGCTGACATCCTAAAAATCATTCAACAAGGAATTACAAACATACATAAAACAAATGAAAAAAAATAGAACATTTTAGCAAAGAAACAGAAGATATAAAGAAGAAACAAATGAAATTTTTGAAGGGAAAAATGCAACTGAAATGAAAAAATTCAATGGATGGCTTGAGAACAATAGAGGGGCAGAGGAAAGAATCGAAACTTGATGACAGAGCAATAGAAATTACTCAATCTCAACAACTGCGAGAGAAAATACACTGAAAGAAAAGAAGAGGTTCTCAGGGACCTATGGAACTATAACAAAAGATCTAATATTTATGTCATTGGAATCACATGTGATAGAAGGAGAGGAGAATGCAGATGGGGCTGAAAAGCTACTCAGAGAAATAATGGCCAAAAATATCCCAAATTTGGCAAAAGATATAAACTTATATTCAACAAACTGAGCAAACCCCAAACAGAAAAAAAAAAAACAAAAAAGCAAAGAAATTCATACCAAGGCACATGTAGTCAAACATCTGGAAACTGAACAGAAAGAAAAAAAATCTTGAAAAGAGCAAGAAAAGAATGACACATTACTTATGAGGGCGGGGGGGACAACTCAAACAACAATGAATTTCTGATCAGAAACCATGGAAGCCAGAAGGAAGTGGCACAATATTTTCAAGAGCTGAAAGAAAAGAACAGTCATCCCAGAATTCTATATCCAGCAAAAATATCTTGCAGGGATGAAAGAGGAACCAAGACAGTCTCAGATAAAGGAAAACTATAAGCATTTTCTGCTAACAGTCCAACACTAAAAGAATGGCTAAGGAAGCTCTTAAAATATAAAAGAAATGATAAAAAAAGAAATATTACAATATCAAGAAAGGAGAAAGAACAGTTGAAATGGCCTTTCCTTTTGCTCTTGAATTTTCTAAACTAAGTTGGGCAGTTAAAGCAACAATTATAACAATGTCTGATGTAGTTCTCAATATAGGTAGAACAAATACTTAAGAAAGTTATATTATAAATGGGGGCATGTAGAGGGACATAAAAAGAGGTAAGGTTTCTGCCCTTCACTGGAAGTGGTAAAATGTCACACCAGTAGATGGTGATAGGTTATATGTGTATAAAACATTGAACTGAACGAAAATGAAAATACAACATATCAAAATCTGTATAATACAGTTACAGCAGCACTAAGAGGGAACTTTATAGCACTAAATACTTACATTAGAAAAGAAAAAAGTATCAAATCAATAATCTGAACTCCCATCATAAGAAATTAGTAAAAGAAAAGCAAAGTATACCCAAAAGCAAGCAGAAGGAGAAAATAATTTTTAAAAAGCAGAAAACAATAAAATTAAAACTTAAAAATAAAACAATGGAGAAAACCAATGGGACAAAAGGTTGGTTAGTCAATCAATAAAATTGACTAACCTCTAACAAGACTGATGATTAAAAAGAGAGAAGACACAAAACACCCCATATCAGGAATGAAATATGGGATATCATTACAGACCCTAAACTCATCAAAAGGATGGAAAGGGAATACTATGAACAACTTTAAACTCATAAGTTTGACAACTTAAAAATGGACCAATTCCTAGAAAAGCACAAACTACAACTCATACAATATGAAATAATTTAATTAGCCCTATAACTATCAAATATTTTGAATTTGTGATTAAAAAATTCCCCCCAAAGACATCTGTAGGCCAAAATGATTTCATTGAATTGAACCACACGTTTAAGAAAAAAATATTAACACCAATTGTATATAGTCTTATTCTGAAAATAGAAGACTCATACCCAACTTGTTTTACAGGGCCAATATTACTTTGATACCAAAATCAGACAAAGATAGCACAAAAAGAAAACTACCAACTAATATCCTTCATGAATATAAAAGTAAAATCTTTAACAAAATGTTAGCAAATCACAATCAGCAATATTTTAAAAGAATTATATAACTTGACCAAGTGGGGTTTATTCCAGGGAGGCATGGCTGGTTCAAATTTTGAAAATCAATCATCATAATTCACCATAGTAACAGGCAAAAGGAGAAAAATCACATAGCCACATCAATTGAGACAGGAAAGGCATTTGGCAAAATTCAATATACATGCATAATAACCCTCAGATAACTAAAAATACAGGGCATGTCCTCAACTTGATAGAGAACATCTACCAAAAGCCTATAGCTAACATCATACTTGATGGTGAAAGACTGAATGTTTTCTTCCTACGATTAGAAACAAAGCAAGGATCCCACTCTCAGCATTCTTACTCAACATAGTACTGGAAGTTCTTGCCTGCACAATAATGCAAGAAAAGGAAATAAGCACACCAATCGGAAATGAAGAAATAAGACTGTCCCTATTTGCAGGTGGCATGGTGATTGACATAGAAAATGTCAAGGAATCTGTAAACAAAGACAAAAACAAACTCCTACAACTAATAGGTGACTTTGTCAAGGTCTCAGCTTACAAGATCAACATACAAAAATCGAATTGTACTTCTGTATACTATTCATGAACATGTGGATACAGAAACTAAAAATACCTGCTATAATGAAAAGAATAATTTTAGATATCAAACCACTATCACATAAAAAGCCACTATTTACTGATTGGTTTTCTCTTCTTCCAAGCATTATTGTAACTCGTGTTTTTATCTGATTTTAAGATTCTTTAATTTAGTAAAATTAATTTTATCAGAAAAAAATAAAGTGCCCAGAAAAGCCAGCCACTACAAGAGACTTCAAAACAAAACAAAAATATCTCGGCCTCCTTCGGGTCTTTCTGTCTTCCGCGGCGCGAGCCCCTGACTCAAGCTCGCTTTTCTCTGTACGGCGCATCCCGGGCTTACTCTCACCGCCTTTCCACTCGGCCCATAGCTAAACCATTCCTGACTCCCTTCATGGCGTCGCTTCTGTGCTGTGGGCCCAAGCTGGCCGCCTGCGGCATCGTCCTCAGCGCTTGGGGAGTGATCATGTTGGTAATGCTCGGAATCTTTTTCAACGTACATTCTGCTGTGCTAATTGAGGACGTTCCCTTCACGGAGAAAGATTTTGAGAATGGTCCCCAGAACATATACAACCTTTACGAGCAAGTCAGCTACAACTGCTTCATCGCTGCGAGCCTTTACCTCCTCCTCGGAGGCTTCTCTTTCTGCCAAGTTCGGCTCAATAAGCGCAAGGAATATATGGTGCGCTAGAGCACAGTCGTGTTTACCCTCTTCAGCCCCCTCCTCTATTTAAAGGTTCTCCTCACCCTCTCATGATCCCCCATTCTGGTGCCCTCTACGGGACTCGGTTTTCCTGGAGAGAGATTTAATCCCTGTTCTCCCATCTCTGGTGCCCGACCCCAGTGGAGGGTGGCTGGGACTGACCGTCATCTGTTCCTCCAGCCCCTTTTTCGCTTTGTCCCGTACCACAATAAAGAGAAACTGCCCTCTGAAAAAAAAAATAAAAAAATAAACGAATAAAAATAAATTTTAAAATATATATAGTACCACTTACAATCACTCAAAAATTGAAATACCTAGGTGTAAATCTAACAAAACACATACTACAGGACTTGTATGTTGAAAACTACACAATGCTGATGAAAGAAAGCAAAAAATATCAAAATAAATGGAGAGGCACACTGTGTCCATGGATTGAAAGACTCAACATAGTAAGGATGTCAGTTCTTCCCAAATTGAAATACAGGTTTAATGCAATCCCTTTCAAACTACCATCAACATTGTTTTGTAGATATATGAAAGAGTATTTTAACGTCCCTATGGAAAGGCCAAAGAACAAGAATAGCTCAAATAATTTTGAAAAGGAAGAATATAGTGGGAGGAATCACTCTACCTGATTTTAAAACACATTTTAGAGGGACAGTAATCAGGACTGTGTGGTGTTAATGGAGGAATAGACACATAGATCAATGGAACGGAATAGAAACTCTAGAAATAGATCCACAAATATACCCAACTGATTTTTGACAAAGGTACAAAGCAATTCAATGAAAGAAAGATGGCTTTTTCAATAAATTACACTTTAACAATTGGACAACCATAGGCGAAACAACGAAGCTTGACCTAAACCTCACACCTTACACAAAAATTAACTCAAAATGGACCATAGTTTTAAATGTAAGATGTAAAACTTAAAAAAGAAACAAAACCATGGGCGATAATCTGCAGTACTTATGGCTTGGTGAGGAGTTCTTAGGCACAACATTAAAAGCACAATCTATTACATAAAAAAATGAATACTTTGAAATTCATCAACATTAAAATCTTTTGCTCTACAAAAGTCCTGAAAAGAAGATTAAAAGACATGTTACATTGTGAGAGAAAATATTTGAAAACCACATATCTAACAAAGGACTCATATCTAGTACATATAAAGAAGTCTCAAAACTCGGTAGCAAAAATCAAACAATCCAGTTAGAAAATGAGCAAAAGACATAAAGAGACATTTCACTGAAGAAGATGTATGGATGGCCAAAAAGCACATGAAAAGATGTTCACCATCACTGAGCATTGGGAAATACAAATTAAGAACACAATGAGATACCACTTCACACCTATTAGAATGGCTAAAATAAAATTTAAAAAGTGGCAAAACCAAGTGCTGAGAAGGATGAAGATAAACTAAATCTCATACTTTGCTGTTGGGAATGTATGATGCTACAGCTACCCAGGCAAATAGTATGGTGGTTTTTTAAAAAGCTAAACATACACGTAGCATCCAATCCATCAGTTGCACTCCTGGGTATTGATCCCAGAGAAATGAACACTTGTCCACACAAAAACCTGTGTGTTATTATTCAAAGCAGCATTATTTGTAATAGCCAAAAACTAGAAATAACCAAAATGACCCTAAATGGGTAAGTGATTAAACAAACTGGTACATCCACACCATGCAATAGTACTTAGTAATCAAAAAGAAACAAACTCTTAATACATGCATGGATGAACTTCTAGGGAATTACGCTGAGTGATAAATCCAATCCCAAAGATCACATGCTGTATGATTCCATTTATGTAACATTCTTGAAATGACAAAATTACAGAGTTGGGAAATAGATTAGTGGTTGCCAGAGGTTAGGAATGGTGGGGTAAAGGGGGAGGGGAACAGTTCTGTGTCTTGATTGTGGTGGTGGTTACACAAATCTACATGTGATAAAACAGCACAGAATTATATGTGCTCATTGTACCAAGGCCGGTTTCCTGGATTGGACATTGTATTATAATTATGTAAGATGTAGTCATTGGGAAATACTGGATGAAGGATACGAGGTGTGATCACAAAATACGGTGAATGTTTAAATAAAAATAATTATTACAGTAAAAGACACATTGCCATTCACCCCCCTCAAAATACTCCCCCTAGCTTTGAACACACTTATTCCATCATTCTTGTCACTTTCTGAAGCAGTTCTGGAAGTCCTCTTTCCTGAGTGTCTTTAGTTGCGCTGTTGCTGTTGCCTCGATGTCCTGAATCGATTCAAAACATTTTCCTTTACATGGTCATTTTGACTTTGGGGAAGAACCAGAAGTTGCATGGTGCCAGATCCGGTGAATAAGGTAGATGAGGACACACCGTAATGTTTTTCGTTTGTTTGTTTGTTTTTTGATGGTTTCCCTTGCTGGGCACGAGCTTTTTAGTTTGATGTTGTCCCATTTGTTATTTTTATATAATTTTTTAATTTTTCAATTACAGTTAGCATACAATATTATATTAATTTCAGGTGTACAATAGTGATTAGACATTTATATAACTCACAAAATGATCATAATGTATTTATATGACAGAAATTGCCATATACCAGAAGCGATGTGTGACATGGAGCGTTGTCATGATGGAGGATGAAGTAAAGACACTCACGAAAGAGGACTTCCAGAACTGCTTCACAAAGTGGCAATAACGATGGGTGAGATGTGTTCGAAACCTGGGGGAGTATTTGGAGGGGGATTAAAGTGTCTTTTACTGTAATGCATTTGTTTTATTTAATCATTCAATGTATTGTTTGATCACACCTCATATATGGGCCCAATTGCCAAGCTTCATTTCCCATTGCCTTGATTCACTCACTTACCCAGGAAAGCGTTATGGAACATCTACTGTATGCCAGGCACCATTGTAGATGCTGGTGAAACAGCAATGAACCAAACAAGCAAGCACGATCCCTCAGGTAGTTGACGTCTTAGCGGAGAGAAACAAATAATCAAATAAATGAATAAATAAACAACATGCCTGATAGTGATGAGTGCTTTAAGGAAAATGCAGCAGGCAATGGTCAGAGTATAATGAGTGATGGTGATGGGAGGTGAGCAGGGACGGCGTCTCTAAGAAGGCAACATCTGAGCAGAACTCTGAATAAAGTGAGAAAAAGTATCCCAGGAAGTGGGACCAGTGAGTGCAAAGGACCTCAGGTGGGAGTGTACCTGGGTTGTTTGGCTGGAGTAGAGCGAATGAGAGGAGAGTAGTGAATGAATGAAGTCAGAAAGGTAAGGGTGATGGTGAAGACAGATCACAAGGGCATTTGTTCTCACCTAGACTTATCGGGGGGAGGTTTTTTTTTTTAAAGATTTTTATTGGGGAATTGGGGGATGGGAACAGCGCTGGGGAATTGGGGGAAGGGGAACAGACAAGTTGCTGTTGTTTTGTTCTTCAGTCTAGTTGTGGAGGACGTTGCTTCACTGGCCCAAGTTGGCACCATCATTGCGCTCTTCCCGGGCGAGGCGGATCAGTTGCCGGCTTCTGGACGGCCATTCACTGTGGCTGTTGGCCGCTCATGCTGGCTGCTGGCTACACACGGTAGCCCATGGCAACCCACTGCTACCGGGGCTGCAGCCTACGCTGTGGCCGGCAACTCAGGGCAGCCCAGCTCCAGGTTGAGATGCTTTTCAGCATCTTAGCTGTGGAGAGCAGTGTCACTGGCCCTCATATGTGGGATCCGAACCGGGGCCCTCTGGCGTCCCAAGCCAGCTCTTAACCATCGCGCCACTCGGCCGGCCCTCGGGGGAGGTTTTTAAAACCCCTAACCTCAGGCTGCGTTCGAGACCAATTAAACTAGAACCTCTGGCCACGAGACCCAAGTATCGCTATTAAAAAAAAAATTCCCTAGAGGGTTCCAATGTGCAGCCAAGAGTGAAAGCCCATGATGGGGTGTCTTACAGATCATTTTAAGGCCTTTGGCATTTACTATGGCTGTTGAGAAGCAAAGGGATGGTTTCAAGCAGAGGCATGACACGATGTGGTGTATGTTTGAACAGGAATCCCAGTGGCTCCTGTGTTGACAGTAGACTGAAGTGGGGAAGGGTGGAAGCAGGGAGATGAGTCAGGGGCTAGTGCAGTCATCCAGTTGAGAGACAATGGAGGTCTAGACTATCGTTTTAGCAGCTCAAACTCTGAAGGTCAGAGAAGAAGGCACTGGCCATGGGATGCATGGCCAATCATTGGTAGCGTGGGAAGCATAGCCAGTCCTCTTACCTTCCTAGGCAATCTGTACTGCTCCCAGTCTGCTCTCCTGGGGAACCTCAGGTGAGGCCAGCCATGGGGTCATTCTCAGGCTCCCTCAATGTAGGGAATGGGAGCAGGGCACGGCTGAGGAAGCAGCCTCGGCAAGGCCATGGGGAGCTGGCAGGTAGGCTGCAACCCGTGGGAATTCCCATGATGTCTGCCCTCTGATTCCCATGAAGGTGATTGGAAGGAAGCTGCCGGAAGGCACTGACCCAGGATAGCCATCCCTCTTCAGTCAATGGCAAATTGTAAGCAGCACAAGGGAAGCCAGCTCTGGTTCTGACCAGCTCGGGTCAATGCTGTGAGTGCTGGAAGCAGAACCAGAGAAGAGCGGGAGAGGACACAGTCTCCTGGGCCTCAGAATATAGGAAGAGGTCAAGTCACTGATGAAACACCTCCCAGACCAGAAGCATGCAAACGTCATCCCATAACCACCAGGGCTCCTTGCCGGCTCCTTAGCACAAAAAGGGAAGAGGTGACAGCCGCCACCATGTGCCAGAGAGCCATGTCAAGTAAGGACTATGTTCCTGCTGAGGAAACAGGCTTACAGAGGCTTGGTCCAAGGTCACACAGCTGGACCTTAGCATGGCTGGGGTCAGTCTGATGCCCATGCCTGGGCTCTTTTGCCAACACTGCGCCACCTTCCCTCAAGGAGGTTCAGGCTGCTCAAGAACATGTGCACTTACTTGCCAGGAAGCAAAGATTAATTAGGCAGCCACGGGAGAGGATAGAGAAAGTGCTAGTGGGATTCCAAGGCAGAAGACTTCAGGAAAGCACTCCTGGAGCAGGTAACATGGGACCGCTGAAGGCCGTGAAGGCTGGGTAGGGTCTGGCCATGCAGAGAGACTGAGCTGCAGGTCAAGAGAGCCCAAGTGAGCACAAGGAATCCCGGAGGTGGGAATAACTAAGGCAGGAC